GTAGTAGTAGTAGTAGTAGTAGTAGTAGTAGTAGTAGTAGTAGTAGTAGTAGTAGTAGTAGTAGTAGTAGTAGTAGTAGTAGTATCAGTATCAGTATCAGTATCAGTATCAGTAGTAGTAGTCGTCGTCGTCGTGGTCGTCGTCGTGGTAGTGGTAGTGGTAGTGGTAGTGGTAGTGGTAGTGGTAGTCGTCGTCGTCGCCGTACCAGTAGTAGTAGTAGTGGTAGTAGTAGTAGTTGTTGTTGTTGTCGTGGCAGTAGCAGTAGCAGTAGCAGTAGTAGTAGCAGCAGCAGCAGGAGTAGTAGTAGTAGTATAGTGGTGGCAGTGGTAGTAGTAGTCGTGGTGGTGGTGGTGGTGGAAGTAGTAGGGGTAGGGCACAGCGCTTCCTACTAATCGAAGGCTTCTGGCTGTCACGCTAGGCGAAGGCGAAGGTGGGCTTTGTGGCAGCGTCAACGCAAAGAAGATAGTAGTTGCGGCAACTGTGGTAAGACTCGTAGTGGGGTGGGGTGGTCGGATTGATAGAGGTACCGGTAATGTAGGGGTAGTGGACGGCAGTGGGAACTATTAAAAAAGCGAAAGGAGGTGCGGGGGAGGGCACAGCGCAGGGCTGCTTCGTTTCTTGATTGGTTTAATTGGGCGTCAGAGCCTGCACTTTCATTCACCTTTGTGGCGCTGACGCAGCTAAGCGAAGGTGGGCCTTATCACCCACCTTTGTGTCAAAGTCAATGCAAAGAAGATAGTAGTTGCGGTAACTGTGGTAAGACCGGTGTTGGAGGTACTGGTAATAGCAGGGGTAGTGGCAACTATTAAAAAAGCAGGAGGGGGTGCGGGGGAGGGCAGTATGTTTTTTTTAGGTACCTTTTATTGTCCTGTTGCAAAACTCAAATCCAAATCTAGCTCGCTATCAGATTTACGCATTCCTGCGAAGACTTGATGGTTAGATGTCACTATAGTCACTACCAACATGTACAATTCCAGTCTAAATGCAAATTCACAGTTAAAGGTTTGTGCTACAAGTACTTGTTCAAGAATACATCTTCGGAAGGCTGTCTCTATGTTTGGTTACAACAGTAGACTGTTTAGATTGAAAATGATTGAAGCAAATAGAACCAGGTCTGACTCAATTACAGTAATAACATGTACCACCATTAATCAATAACATGAATGACACAAACACATAAAAGACCACAGATTTGAAAGGCTTGCATTCTTCACAGGGTGCCCGTTAGACCTTCTTTGTTCACCTCCACATGTTGTGTTCCTATAAGTGGACCGCCCCCTGAAGACCTACCTGGTTGAAAGAATCAGGTCATGACCTACCTGCTTGAACGACCTGTGATCTCCCCGACCCAAGTGACCCGTTCAACTGGCGGCCCAACAGCATCTTTGCTTCGCCGCTTCGATCCTGAACTCCGCGACCGGTCGACCGGCGGCGACCGAAAACGGGGGTTCACCGGGGTGGGTCTATTGTTGCGCGAAAGCGCCGCGGTATTGGGAGCTGGGTGGGTGAGAAATTATGCCGAGTAGAGGAACTTGGCAAAGATAATATATATTTCAACATGTTTCAGGTATACAGATGTTTCAATATGTTTCAGATAGGAGTCATGTTGTCGTTGTTTTCTAAATACAAAACAAACATCTCTGAAGCCACCACCCAGGCTAATGGGTCGACCCTCAAGAAGTACAGCATGAACCTGCACGGTGGTCGCCCAGGCTGCAACCTGCAACCGTTGTGAATCCCTGCGGCGGATACCCTTGTGATCCTGTACTACAACTCTACTAATCCTCGGGTTGCCACTCTCAGGGAGTCAGTAGGAAGTTTCTGTCAACTGAAAACAGCATAAAACAGCAGGGTTTCTTTGAGCCTCCTCAAGCATCGTTGCCTCTGGGACGGGGACCGGGCGGGGCATGCTGCTGAAAAACATGATGCGTATCATGATTTGGTCAAACAAGTTCTCGCATCAACTCCCAGAAAACAATGTACTGATTGATAAATGCAGAGTTCGACACTGGCACCACATAGGATACCCTGCGTCGACATTGTCAATCACGTAAGTCATGCCAGTCTCATATGCTTGTGGAGAATTTGTTTTCCCTCATAAGCCAGCCACCAGAAAGGGATCCATCTACCTCCACCAACCATCTACCTCCACCAAGACCAAAAAACCACGCGACCCCAAAAAACCACGTCCGGATGCGGGTGCCTTCTGCGTCCGGATCCGCGCCAGCTCCTCACGCGCGATTTGGTTGGCTTCTTTCCGCCGGTCCTGGAGTGGGCGTGAAACAAGTATCAGAAAGCGGGCTGGTGCCTTGGTCCAGGTATGCCCTGGTTGCTTTGCTGATCGTGACTGGAGTTGTGAATCAAGAGCTAAATTGGATTGGAGTGTTTTGCATCACAAGGAGTTGGGATGCGGATGTTGATGCGGATGCCGATGGAGCCAACCCAATCCCTTAGAAGCTGGTTTGGTTCATCTGGGCGTTGGACTTACTCTCGCACGTCTTCTTCTCTCAATTCAGTTTTTTTGTTCAAGCAACCCTATGCCGTATGCGTTTGGATGGTAGCATTTGGTGATGTTGCTGGCTCATCAACCATGATTGTATTCTAAACAATGACAGCATGAGACCATTGCGTCGACCGATTTAAAACATGTAGTGACCTCAAACACGGGGTGTGTGTGACAGCGGCTTTCCAAACCAACCAACAGCGGTTTGGGACTTCGATCCCGACGGGGTCGCTGAAAGTGGAACGGTGCATACACAGCTCCCTGGATTTGGGCCCAACAGCCATGTAAAAGTTGTTTGATTGGAAAGACTTGGATTCCAATGTCCTAAGGGGGACGTCCTTACTCTCAGAATCACTCCAATCAAATGTTTGCAGGAACACAAAGGATGTGGAATCCACAGAAACGTACACATTCACTATCAGTCTTCATCTTGCTAGTGGCCAACGATGTCCTGTGCAGCTGCTGAACGAACTCTTCAGTATATGTATATAAGTCAATCAACCCTCACTCACTGGCCAACAAAAATGCCAAGCACCGATCAACATGAGTCGGTGATAGCTTCCGATCATGAACCATCATATACCGACTATAAAGGCTCAAGTGACCTCCGAGGAAGCCTGGCCAAGCCCTCTATTCACATTCACTATATTAGGCCATCACTACCCTAGCTGCCTTAGCCCTAGCTGCCCTAGCTACCATGCCGATGCCATTCCACCTAATATTAGAGGGTGGCTCCCAAACAACAAGTCAAAGCGCTACAACAAGTCCAACAAGTTCAACAACAAGATTCAAGATGAATCAATGCCCTTTCCTTGAAGCACAAGACGTGGATCTTGATTCGGATGGTGTCTGCTACGCCCGTCTCATCGCCCAACCTGTGCTTGCACTGGGAGAAGCGCGGTCTCCAAGCACCCCGGTCAAGCATTCCGGTCGACATCTGTGTCTCGGTTTGGGTATCTTTGGTTGGTTTCGAAGCAAATTGCGATCAGTCTAATACAGAGAATCAGAACCCGGAATTCAGCCGGACATCGGAAAAATAAGACGTTCTTCGGCTTCAATGGTGTTTGTGTGTGTTTTGTTCCTGGATGGCAAGGGGATGGAAGCCACTTCTTAGAAGGAACTCCACCTTTCGCCGTCTCGAGACTCAGTAGATTCAGTAGATCCAGTTGCTACTGGAAACCACCCTGATCCAGTTTCATCCAGTTTCCACTTCCATGCAAGCGAGTCTAATGTAGACTCTTGATTAATAACCCCCACCAATTAGATTGTCAAACCTTGTCGTATGGTGGGTTTATTCATCAAGAGTCTACGATCGTCTACATGAAGGGTGGTTTGTAGGTCACCCAGGGCTCCAAAACCAAATCAGCCATGGGCCAATGAGAAACAACAGGTTCCTTACTGCAACTGAGATAGGAGACTACGATCCAGCCATGCTGGGGTTGGGAGGCCTGCGAGCCCCAATTTGTTCCAGTTTTGGTGGTGTTCTTCCTTTACGGTCTGAAAAAGGGCTCGCTGCATCAGCAAGAAGACCCTCGCTGCAAAAACTCCTAAGGACGCTCACCGCCCAGACTAGAGTAGTAGAATGGTAGTTTGTTTGCAATTTCCGACTCCTTCACCCATTCTGGGCACGACCCCGGGTCAAAATGAACAGATTCCTCGATGTTCATGGATGTCAACCTGGCATGGTTTGGTTGAATTTTGAGACAGCCATGATTTGGGTGTGTATCTAAAGATCCGGGAGACACCCCCTTTCTCGCCCCTGGCGGGGTAGAGTCTATGGACTCATCTGAAGACTCATCGGCTAATCGCTCCAAGATTGGGCATTGGCGCCCGCGCCGGCCAGGTCGCCCGCGCATGAAAAGAATGTGTTTTTTCACCTTTCTGAGCCTTAATTGGACAACATCAAATGATTGGAATCGTTTTTGAACAAAAAAATTCAGAGTGATTTTGACGTTTTTCATTCAAAAAAACCGTTGTGTTCACCTTTCTTTTCCACCGCCCATCACGGGCCAATTCTTGCAGCCCCAGAAGCTGGCGAAATCGCTCGAGGGCCTGGCGCAACATGCGGCTCAAATTGGGTCTTGGAGGTCCATGGAAAACCAGTCCCTTTTTTCACCAAACACTACTGCAACTAGTGAGAGCTTGTGAAAGCTTCTTCAGGATTCGTGGGGTTCCACCATCCTCTTGACCCCACATGCTCATCCCGTGATACATGTGGTTGGTAAGTGAAACAAATCCAAGCCGATCCATTGGCATCAGCAAAAAAACGAAGCTCGTCGTGAGCAGCGGACCGGGGCAATGTGGTGTTGCGCGGCCAAAAACACGGACCATCAGCCCTAGCTGACGCCGGCGCAAAAAAAGGGCAGGTTTAAACTGGCCCAAGAAGGAGAACCCCAGACACCCGACCAAAGGAAAAAGGGCGCTGGGGAACTCAAAGCAAACCCCAGCCCCGTGGGGGAGCCAAAGTGGACACCCCCCGAGGTGGCTCACTGGCCCGGTCTGAAGGGAGTTATGGAGACTCGCTGAGAAGGTCCACGATGGGGCTTCACTCAAGTCGCCGCATGATTGCCCTGGCATTCTCCCGGTGCAACGCAAGGCTCAGGGCCTGTAGCAGGCGCTGCAGTTCCACAGAGCTGCTGTCGCGAGTCGCTGGTCCTGGCAGCGATAGCAGCCGAGAGGGACCTCCACGTCTTCAAAGCAGTGGGCCCCCAGCCTCCCCCACAAGCTTCAACCACAAGGGGAATGAATTGCAGCCCCTCAGTGGCACAGGCCTGCAACGTATCCAAGTGGCGGCACTTCCGAACTTCGTAGTCCATGCCATCAGCGGCGGAAGCGGCAAGGTGGCCTTGCCGCAAGCCAGAAGTGACCGCCACATCGAAGGCGGCAGGACCATGGAGGTTCCAGTTGGCGATCCAAACATCAGCCGGGCGGCAGCCATTTCCACGAGGCAGAGATCCATCTTCGGTGCCCCCGTGGAGCTCCGGCCGCGGAGGGAGCAAGTTCGGTTTCTCAACTTCCGGTTGCAAGCCAGCGGCGCGGGCACGCCCGGCCAGGATGTTGCGCAATTGGTTGTGTCTCTTGACCCTGTCGCCCCCGCAGGGGCACACACGGGCATGGTCCCCGAAGCTATCCGAGGTGCCATCACATAAGGGGCAAGCCATGTCAGAGTCGGCGATGGGCAAGCGGAGCCGCAAGCGGACCATGGTTCGGAAGAGGGGAGTGACCACGTGGAGGCCCAAGGCATCGTTTGGAACAGCGTGGAGCCAAGCCCCCGCCCCTTCTTGCTGCAGAAGTTGGAAATGGGCTCGGTAAGCTTCGCGCCCAGGGCCAGGCGCGGCCAGCTGCGCGATCACGACCCGGTCCAGCGCGCGTGACAACTCTTGTTGCCGAAGAGGGTGCGGGGCTGGGACCGGGAAGTGGTCGGCAGGTGGGAGCGCGAGGTTGACCTGGTGCAAAGCGGCACCCTGATCCTCATCATAGTTGCCATCGATGTCTTTGCACAAGGGCGCGGTGGCCAAGAGTGAAGCCGCGTAGCCGGCAACACTGTGCCGGGCCACGCTCCGTAGACCCAAGCCCCCAGACCTCGTCGAAAGGGCGAGCATCTTCTTCACGTTAAAGATTTCATTAAACACAGCCTGAAGTGCAGCTCTTTCGTCGCTGTCTTTGTAGCCCTTCTTCCAGTGGAGATCTCCAAGACTGGTGGCGTAAATTCCCTCTAGTTCAATAGAACGTTTACTCGCTTTCTTCCTTGCGATTAGTTCAGAAGACATTGGTGGAGGGTGCGTAAAGTCTTCCTGACGCAAGAACACGTCGGGAGCAAAATAGCACGAAATCGCATCCTGAGCACTCAAGTAAATCTCCGGGGAATCGAGGAGCTGAAATGACACTCTGTCTACGGAAGAAAAGAATGGATCTTGCCACTCAAAGATGTCTGCTGTCATCAGTATCGGCAAATCCCTTGATGCCAAATGCCACTCCGATCTCTCTGGGTGAGAAAACGCATAATGCTCAATCTTCTCGTACAAAAGTCTTGCACTCAGCTTAAATTGACACAAGCGAAGGAGTTCTTTTGAATTCACACTGCACATGAACGTAGCAAACATGCTCTTCTTCTGTCCAAACTCCAGGGCCAATTTCTTCTGATCTTCAATTGTCCTCCCTAGGCCCTTCCACAAGATTGGAGACATAGCCGTAATTCCCATGATGTCCATCACATGCTTGGTTTCGCCCTTGAGTAGCTCTCTCGCCACGGTCGCAAAAGTCTCTCTGTGGTTCACATCAACTTTATTTCTCTCAAACTCCAAAATCATCCTTCTCAGCAACTCCAGTCCAAACAACTGTTCTAGGATGCACGAAACAAGTGCAGACCTCGCTGCTGAGTAAATCTTGCGCAGTCGATGAAGTCGTAGAAGAATGGGTTTCATGGCGTCTTTGGGGCGCAATCCTCCTTCAACCTCGCCAAATTGGCTTTCCAACCATGCTTTATCTCGCTTCGGTTCGAAAGGGAGCATTTCACATACAGTAGTTGAAACTGTGGCCATGATCCTCACAAAGTTTGCCTCTAGGTATTCTGCAGCAAAAAATGCTGGACCTCGCGCAAGGGACTCTCTGCTGATCGGATATAGACCTGCCAAGCCAGCTGCCATGATGATTCTTATCATCACTCCTCTGTTGTAGTAGCCCAAGTGAGACAAGACAGAAGCAGAAACTCTGGGCTCACTTGACACCAATGAAAGAAGAGATAGCAATGATTGTGTCTCTCTCTTCTCATCCGATATCAGCGCAAAAGCAATTAGCTTCCACCACCTGATACGTGTGAAGCCGGGGAGAGGGGAGAGGGGAGAGAGGGGAGAGAGGGGAGAGGAGAGAGAAGAGAGAGCA